ACGACTGAAAACTAACCTTGTTTCCGAAGAATAAGTATAAATGAAGTAAATAAAAATAAGTTAACGAGTTACAAGTAATATAACATACTAACACATTACTTTTGATTAAAATTACTATAACAAGTAATATCAATTAACCACTACCTGAGTAAATATTAAGTAGTTAAGACTCAACTTCTTGGTTGTAATGGTAAAATCAATATACTCAACACTAATCATTTCGAATATAAAAGTGCAATCAATTTTATATGGAGTGTGATACAAGAATATAAAGTTTTATGTTTCTGTTTCTGTAAATATGTAATGGCTAAACTAATAAAGTTGCTTGGCGAATTAAGCAACAGTTGATTTCAACAAACATATCGTAGTGGAGCAGCTTAAAGAATTCTTTCATCGTTCATTCCTTCTTGAGAAGAACATAAAAATGCATGTAACACCATATTTAGACTTTTAGAACTTCTAATTATAACTATTACTTAATGCATTGCAGAGAGATCACTAAACTGAAGAAAAAGAGAAGTATTTGTTCAAGAAATAGGTGTTTAACTAAGATAAATTAGATATTTACTGCCGTTAGATAATTAGATTGGGTAGAGGTAATATGTGACCGGTGATATGCTACTTCACTTCACCAGAGAAGTCTATGATGGGAGCATTTGAAGACATGAGTCCGAATTAAGAATTGAAAAGAGATCTTAGATTACCTTTGGGTCTTCATATAAGGCAAAGATTAATCGCTTAGAGCATCTCCAGTGAAAAAACATGAATGGTGCATACGTGACATGTGAGATAGCCAATTAAAAAACAACAATAAATTTCATCTCTCCTTATTTGAGCAGTCTTATATGTATTTTGGTAAGTTTTTTCTCCACAATGTCAAGCACAATGTCTAAATATAGACATTGCTTACCAAAAAACACATAAGACCGTGAAAAGAAGAAGAGAGAAATGTCAAAAATTTAATTTTTTGTGTTTATCTCTCTCATGTCACATGTGCACTGTGCACATTGTAGCATTGGAGATGCTCTTAGCTTCTTCTCTTTGCTAATTTTTGGACTCCCGCTGAAGTTTACGCAAAGGAGAATAGAGAATAGAGGTTCAACGATTTAGGGTTACTATTTCATTGATAAGGTTGGCCGTGTCAGAGCTTCGGGCCAAAGCCGCTAGGCTATAATTGGTTTGGACCTATTTTAATATACAAGAGGCTATTTTGTTATTATTATAGCCTTGTAATATCGATTATCAGTCACTGACCGAAACCGGACATTCAAAACCATTAAATAACCGAATAACCAATATTTTTTTACAAATAATAACTGATAACCGAATTTCCGATTCGATTAGGTCATCGGTTACGTCGATTTTTCCGGTTATTTGCTCACACCTAGTAACGATTCATCATCTCCGCCACAAAGGATGCATACATCTGGACAATTAACGTTCCTTTTCATCAAAATTCTCAGAACTGGGAAGACATCTACAACATGCCTGCTAGAAAAACGTTTTAATTTTGGGCGGAAGTTGATAGTTCCACATCACCGACCAGCCCGACCACCCAACGTGTTCAGCTTCCCCGACCAACCTTCAGTAGCTGCAAACAGAGAAACGATCACCCTGCTCCCAACACCAAATATTATTATCGGGTACTATTCTTTTGCTTAGGGGAATATTTTTATTAATGAGATATCCATGTTTTGAAAAAGATCTCTTAATATGTCCTCATCACAACCACCTCTATTGACATTCAATGGCCCCAACCACTCAGATATTCTCTAGCCCTTGAACACGGACTGAAATAATTCTGGGATTCGGATCCCCCGATAACCACAAATCTTCCCAAACCTTTATAGCGGACCCATCTCCAACTCGCCATCTATACCCCCCGTGCCCCCGAATAATATTCTGAGTTTCAAAGATACTCATCCAGATAAATGATGGATTACTCCCAAGCTTAGCAGTCAAGAAAGAACCTGGTGGAAAGATACTGCACGGGAAACTCTCCCAACTAGTGTATCATGTTCTGTAAATATTTGCCTCACCTGTTTTGACAGAATCGCCAAATTGAACTCCCTGATCCTCCGAAAGCCCATGCCCCCAACTTTTTTTTGGTCTGCATAAGCCTTCCCAACTCCCCCATATTATTCCTTTCCCAAAAATTTATTTCATGAGAAAGCATTCATAAGCACTTCTAATTCCCTACATAACTCCATAGGCAGCAAAAATACATTCATCGCGTAGTTCGACATTGCTTGTATAACTGATTTCAATAGGATATCCCGCCCTGCTCGTGATTTGAACCTATTGTTCCAGTGGTGCAATCTCCTGATGACTCTCTCCTTTAAGTAACTAAGGATTTGTCTTTGATTTTTACCAATTAATGCCAGTAACCCCAGATAAACTCCTCCTCACCATAGAAATGGCTCCCAGGAACGTTACCACCGAAGAAAAGCTTTGACTTGTTGTAATCAATCATCTATCCGGACACATTTTCATAAATCTGAAGAGTCTATTCAACCATATTTGCCTCCTCTCAGTTGCTAAAAAAATAAGAGGTTGTCATATGCGAAAAGAAAGTGAGAAATCTTAGGAGCCCTACAAGCCACCTTCACGCTGTGAATATGCCCCACTACATCTTTCCTTCAAAAGAGGGCATTGAGTCCTTCAGCCATCAAAAGAAATAGGTATGGCAGTAAAAGACCCCCTTGCCTCAATCAAGGGCTGATGCACCCTATTAAGAATGGAGGCACTTGCCCCCGATAACATTTGTCTTTTTAGTTAATTTTTTTAATGTTTTTTGTCAATTAATCACTTGTGCCCCCAACAAAAAAACAAGAGTGTCCCCTTTAAATACTTAACAACATTTTCAAATGCAAAAGCTACGAAGAGTCAGCCTATACGTCATGAAAACTTACTTTGTATTTGAATAAGAGAATATTCTCTAAATAGATTAAAATATATCAAAAAATCTCAAATAAAAGTATCATTATTATTTCCCAAAATAAGACTTATGCACTCATATTTAGTGAAGTCTTTATTTTTCTTTCTTTTAATAGTACTTAATAGGTCAATGAGCACAATCCAAGGGAAGATAGACAATCCAAGGGACATTAATCAACGAGCACAATGGCTAAAACATAAAGTACAAGTATATTATGCTTAATTGTTACACCAACAAATTTTGTATTCCCAAAAGGGTTTAACCATCTTTCACACTTATAAGATAGTATTAAATAAGTCATCTTTTAGAAAGAAAACATATTTAATCCTATTTTATAATTTGGGGAAATCGCATTTTTAGTCCCTGAAATAGTCACCATATTGAAATGTCAGACCCATGCATGTTCCGTAGTTTGTAAATGTCACCCCTCAATTGTTCAAATTATTGTAAATTCGAAGCGATTATCGACCAGACTAACCTGATTACTTCCTGTCATTGTAACACACAAACACACACACCAGAAAAACCCACTTGTCCCCAATGTCAACAAGGAAGATTAAACCAAAGTAATGAACGACAAAATGAAGATTAAAACAAACAAAAATAAATAAAACGTGAAAAACTCTTTCTCTTCCCCATCTTCGTGTTGCCTTTGTGACCCCCTCAATAATTGCGGCGGTTCAGGATGGTCGGGGATAAACAGTAGCAGATTCATTCTTCTATGAGGAGTCGCTCATGAGCCTGCCATCAGCCTTTCTATTGCTACACCCAAGGAGCGAGGGAGCAACACCTCTGAACTCAGCAAACCAGAGTTAACATCTCCACCCTAATGCACAATCCAATCATCCAACAGTCCAATTGGACTAAAACTTGAGCGAATAGGAGGAGAGCCCTGCCGCATCATTCTAGGATCTTCCAAACAACTGTCCAGATGCATGCGTGAAACCAATTATCATCCTGAAATCAGCTGCCTGAACAGACAACAAGCATCAATTGACGTCGTTACTGATATATATCACTTCCCATGCTACTCAATTACATCGAGCACGAACGGTGAAAGCCGCTGGCCGGACAAATAAACCCTAGAAACTGTAGGAATATATGTTTTCCGACAAGCCACATATGTGTTTTCTGACGTATAATTCAAAACTATATTTATTCTAAATCTAAATAATTATGTTTAATTCTCCTTAATAAATTTGTGGAACAAAAAGAAAAAAGTGAAAAGTAAGGTAAGAGTAGGGGGGAAATGGAATGTAGAAAAGGGAAGAATAAAAAGTGAAGCAACTAAGCTATTAGTCCCATTTTCATTATGTTATTTTCATTTTTGAGTATTCCCAAAATTAATATAATTTCATTTTTTGAAAAGAAATATATGAGTTATATCATACTTCATCCGTCCCTTAAAACTTTGTCATCTTTCTTTTTAGGGACGTCCCAAAAACTTTGCCACTTACCCTTTTAATCAATTATTTTATGATTTCCGTTATTTATCTCTCCTTTGCACAAACTTCAATCACACAATTTTTATTTTATTATTCTCCGTACCGGTCAACTTTGTCAAAGTTTTAAGAGACGGAGGTAGTATTATTTTATATTATTGAAACCTAAATCACATCTTTTACTTTGAACCTCTTTACTAATGCCGGTGAGTCGTGATCTAGGGCGAAAGTACTACAGTACTAAAATAAAATGTTTTTTGGAATGAACTAAAATAGAATAATAGGGAATACTATACAGAAAAAGTCGATTAGGCCCTCGTACTTTACAAACACTCAATTAAGTCCTCGAACTATTAAAAAACGTTCAATTAAGACCTTTTGGTGGGTAAGTAACCGATTTCCCGATTAAACGACGATGACGACGATGTGCTCGAACCTCAGCAACGGCGGCTTCCGGGAAACAGGTTAAATTTAACCGGGAAACCGGTTACTTACCGACCGAAAGGACTTAATTGAACGTTTTTTAATAGTTCGAGGACTTAATTGAGTGTATGTAAAGTACGAGTATCTTATAGACTTTTTCGGTATAGTACGAGGGCTTATTTGATATTTTCACTGAAAAAATCCCACTAATAACACGAAGGACTATTCTGCCATCAAATCGTCTAGCCAGACCTTCCATGGCGAACAAGTGAAAATCAGACCCGGAACTCTTGAAAGCCCCAAATTGTATCCGAAACCTGCTTCAATGGCTCGAAGATCTTTCTCAATCCTCAAGCAAATCCTACAAAAATCAGCCGACAACCACTGCCCTTTCTTATGCCGATCCGTGACGTACATGCCGCGGCCAGGTGACGGCACGCCGAGGCCCGTAACCCTAATCCCCGGAGATGGAGTCGGCCCTCTGGTGACAAACGCCGTTGAGCAGGTGATGGATGCGATGCACGCGCCTGTCTACTTCGAGCGCTACGATGTCCACGGAGATATGAAGACCGTTCCACCGGAGGTGATAAAGTCGATCCAGAAGAATAAGGTGTGTCTCAAAGGTGGCCTTCATACACCAGTCGGCGGAGGCGTGAGTTCTTTAAATGTACAGTTGAGAAAGGAACTGGATTTGTTTGCTTCCTTGGTGAATTGCGTCAACTTGCCTGGTTTGCCAACGCGGCATGACAACGTGGATATCGTTGTGATTAGGGAGAACACTGAAGGAGAGTATTCCGGACTCGAGCATGAGGTAGTTCCTGGTGTCGTCGAAAGCCTCAAAGTATGATCCTTTTCACCTGTTTTAAATTCTGATGCTAAGAAGTGTTTAATGGTCACTTACACAATTTGATCTCACTCATGTGCTTGCATAATTGAATTTTAGATAGAAATTTAAAGGAATTTTCATATTTTAGAATTCAGACAATTCCATTCTTTATGTCAATTTTTGAAAACTCACATATTCATCAGTATAATACTCCCCCAGTCCCAATTTGTAAAATACATTTACTATTCACTTGGTCAACATAAATCACTCATATATCAAAAGTTTAAGAAATTTGAATTATTTTTTGCAGGCTTTGTAGCGGTTTTAATGTAGTTTCTGAATATGTAAATTTCATTTTCTAAAACTAATTTGAGTGTTGAAAGGGATCAATTTGGGACGGAGGGAGTATAATTTAAAGTATGTTCACATGGCCATCAATGGCATCAACTCCTTTTATTACATAACCTTTAATAGTTTAATCCATAGGTAAAGAAAGATTTGAACAATTCAGTATTTACAGTCTTGCCCTATGAAGGAGGAAAAGTTATGTCGTCATGTGCAGTTGCAGGAAGAAATAAGCAACTGTCACTATATTGTTGGTGAAAATTTGCACTTATTTTCAGATCTAAACTTTCCATGTTTTGTTAAAATTTTCACATACCCAATGTTTACGTAGACAGTATTTTCCCTTCCTATTGGATCAACCCAAGTTTGTAGACTATTGTCCTGACACGTTTTGTTGTATCCTAGGTGATCACAAAATTTTGTTCAGAGCGCATTGCCAAATATGCATTTGAGTATGCCTATCTCAACAACAGAAAGAAGGTCACAGCTGTGCACAAAGCCAACATTATGAAGCTTGCAGATGGTTTATTTTTGGAATCATGCCGAGAGATTGCCAAGAAGTATCCTGGAATTCAATACAATGAAATTATTGTGGACAACTGCTGTATGCAGCTTGTCGCAAAGCCAGAACAGTTTGATGTCATGGTAAGAAGCAAATTTTTTCTGCATGGTGATGCTGCTGCCTATTCCATATTATATGGGAATATATGATTATTTTTTCACCAGATAGGTCACAAGTGGATTATGGATTGCCTAGATGATGTGTTGCACCATATTTTGATCTTTGTCAACTAGATACGCTTTTATGGTGACACCTTTTATTTACTTCAGTTTTCTGTAGTTTAAATTTCTCCACACTTGGGTTATGAAACACGTAATAGTTTTTATGCTTAATTTTTTCCCTTAGTGAGCTAAGTATTCCGCATGAAAATATGGGCTGTTACAGCTTCCTAACATATTAAATTACAGTTTCTATTGTTTTTTTAATAGTATGACTATACTTATAATGCATTGTTCTTTTAACATCTTGGTAATCTCTTCGATGTTACTGTGGTATATAGTTTTTGTAAAACAGTATATGCAATTGCAATGGTAATTGACATAAAATGCTACACAATATATCATAACTTCAAAACATTGGTTTGGCATTTACAAAAATAATATACGTTGCCCAGAAAATCTTGAAAAAAATGTGATTTATCAAAAGTTATTTTTAAAGAACCGGTCTGTGCTGGATCTTTCTGGTCCCTTTTTCGTTTATGATCATATCTAGTTTTCTTGTCTGGTATATAACAAATAATCTTGTCTGGTGTCTAAATGTTTTTGGTCTTTATGTTTTTTTTGTCGTATGAACTTGGAATAATAAGGCGCTTTTTGTCGTAAGATCATATCTAGTTTTCTTGTCTGGGATATAACATATAATCTTGTCCGGTGCCTAAATGTTTCTGGTCTGTATGGATTTTTTGTCATATGAGTATATGACCTTGGAATAATAATAGAAAAATAAGGTGAAGTGAACAACACCTTTGCCTGAATTTTTCTGTCTAGTCTTTTTTGTATGTCCACTCTCTTTTCACATAGTGATTTGAGACGTGTAACTGTGTTGGTTTCAAACTCCATGTGTTCATCATTTCTGGCATCATGTGTGAGACTAACTTCATACTGAAGGGAGGGCCTATAACTGAAGAGGCTTCATTTCCTTTTTATGAAATGAAGATCCATTTTGGAACTTGAAAAGTGCATAGGCACTCCTACATTATTGAGGTTCTTAGATTCTTCAGGTAAAAGAGTGAATGAAGATTGTCTTTGAGACTCACGCAAAGAAGAAAAACACATGCAAATTAGGAGTTAATACAAAGACCTGGGGCATTTTAAGCTGCATGAAGTACATCCCTTATACAAGTTAGAACTGAATAGAGACTTTCACGAAGACTTGTACTAAGGAAAGAAATGTTTTCCACATTAAAAACAAGAGTTGAGGGAAATATTGATTTGTAGTTGTGGCTCTTCAATCAAAAACTTCCACTTGGATTATGGTGCTGCAAATCCCATGTGCTGACACATATAACCTTACACAGCCATACTTTCCTCAGTCGACTGCAAGAATTGAGAAACGGGAAATTTGTCTAACTTAGTAGTTTACTGCGTGTATAGTACCTCCTATCTGATGCATTCTGAGTAACATTAGATACATTGTGATACTGGTATATGAATAGGAATGTATGATGTTTGGAAACAGCTGATTTTCAAAAAGGATAAAGTGTGATTTTGAGTGATGAGTGCATGCATTTATGCAGTTGATATGTTTCACGGTGTATCTGTCCTTGTGCTCTGTTACCTCTCCATTCGCCATTCCCTGCTTCCTTTTTTGAGGATAGATTTTAATAAATGTGATTTGCTCTTTGTAGGTGACTCCCAATCTTTATGGAAACCTGGTTGCAAATACAGCTGCTGGTATTGCTGGTGGGACTGGAGTTATGCCTGGAGGTCAGATTCGTTTAATTTTTCAACTTTGAATATGCTTACACACACTTACGTGCAAATTGAACAGTTTAGTTGCATTGGTGTACTGTTTATTAATATTAATAATAATGATTTTAATAGAGTTATGCCTGGAGTTTAGATTCATTTAAGCCCCAACTTTGAATACGCTGTGCACACTTACATGTAAATTGAGCACTTTATCACTGCATGTGGTTTATCATTAATTAACGAATATATTGATACACACATAGGAAGCATTTTATATTACACAGGCCTTGATTCAAATGTCCTGCAATGTACACACACACACACAAGGGAGGGTCGGATGTACGCAGTCTTACCCCTATTCTAAAGCATAGAGAGACTGTTTCCGGATGACCCATAGTGAACTTCGCGTCGGAAATTGCATGGACTGACTACCGCTTCATAACAAAGAAGCGTAGGCGTTTAGTGAGCCATTTTGCTTTATTCCATCATATTCTCAAGCCAAAAAATTCTGAGTTTTTGGCTCCATTGCAAATGATGGAAAATAAATCGCTGCACCCCATGATCTTCGTTCCGGAATGGACGATCCGGATCGCGGTACGATTGCGCGTCTGTCGTTGCTGGTTTGCAATTTGGGAGCGATGGTCGGAGTTCACAGGTCGCGTGACTTCCGTATGTGGTTCGCAAAGCCCCTCCAGCGTGGTCCGCAGAACCCTTCCAACGAAACGCGAACGGAGTAATGGACAGTCCAAACGACGCACTGTTCTCTTTTACAGTTTTACGACTTTTAGTTTGCTGCTGTGTCTGTTCCTTCTTTTTTGTTACTTACTCCGTATTAAAAGCCATTCTTTATTTAGTTGTGGAGCCGTGTATTCTATTTTTAACATTTTATTTTTTTAAGGAGCTGGATTTTTTTATTACTTCATTTATATTGAATAAATACATATTACCTAAAAACTCAACTTTTCAGATTTAGTTCTTCATGATACTAAAATTTGTAGTTTAAATGGTATTATCAATATTATATTTATAATTATAAATTGCATATGTTAATGGTGCACTGTACCGTAGCAGTTGGTACAAGTTACCGCGTACCGAAATAGCGTACCGAAGAAGCCTACCCCTCCGACGTATCGGATTTCAAATATTAGCCATTCATGATCCCGTTTTCGTTCCGCGTTCCGGAGCGTACCGCGATCCATGTGACTGACACACACACAAATAATTACATATTTACATATATATATGTATGCATGTGTATATTTATAGTGTGTATGTTTGTATCATTGTATGTATGTGTATATGTGTGTGTATATATATGTAGAGGGAGAGAGATTCAGTAAATCATTTACCAAATTGTTTTCCAGCGAACCTTACATTGCTAGTCTCTTCTTAACATGTTTCACAATGCCAATCTAATGCCACAGGATCCTCTCAATTCGCTGTCTCTGTGTTTATTCTGTTGGATTATTTCAAATTATTTGGTGGACTTGTGGTATTTGATTGCTTTATAAATGGAATTGGTGGAATTGGTTTTTGACTCATGCGACATGCTTTTGGTCAATTTACAACTTTTAATATTTATCAAGGTACAAGTGTACAACTGATAGAGACCTCAACAATACAATAGAAAATCAGTATATTATTGATGAAGTTATCGGAATCGAACTGGACTACAATGGGCGTTGACAGAAAGAAAGAGAAGAACAGATATTGTTGAGACACTTCGAGTAGTCTCGCACTCCCAAGCCTATTCTCAAATCCAATTTCTGACTGCCTCTCTCTTCCCCCTTCCTGCTCTTATTGTACTCATCTCCTAAAATGGGCCAACCTCAGTTACTAAGTTACTGGGCCTAGAAACCACTCATTGTACAATATCAAATACTTAATATTATTCTTATTACTAGAATACTAGTATTGTCTAGGTCCCTATCATCAATCCCCCCTTTGACAACCACCTCGTCCTCAAGGTGGGAGGTAGGAAACAGCCCTGACCAACCGCTTCGTCCTCATTCTTGTGCCTCTTCCTTCCCAGTACCTCCCTGCTTGCTGCACCATGAGCTTCAGTAGTGTCACTGCTAGTCCCCTAGATTGAGAGCCCTTGTCTTCCAACAATATTGCATGTCTCTCAGCTTTCATCCTATCTCTTGAAGGATACTCTTCCCTGAACAACTCATACAGAACTTCATCTGCACGCATATCAAAAGAAGGCTCATGTGGATTTGAGTCTCTATGATGTGTTACTCCATCTTTCACAGTTATCTGTATGGATATGGTTGTCACCAGTCTTTCAAGCTGGTTCCATCTGAGTGATCCTTGATTACAGACAACAAGTTCTCTCAATATTATTCTCCTTATGTCAGCACTGGGGGTCTGATAAAAGCCTTCCAATAACACATGGATATGCACTTCCTACCAATTTGAACTCAGGACCCAAAACTTTTGCAGTTCCTTCTAGTAGAGCTCGTATCACCAAGGCATAGTTGGGATGAAGAGAGCAGTTGAACTTGTACATAACCATATATAACTGATTCATTATAAACTGGAAATCCTGGGGTTGTCTTTTGCCATCACCAATTGATGTTTGCAGGGCATCCTCAACTGATTTTAGATTAGCTCCTTCAGGAATGAAACCGAGAGTCCGAGAGAGAGGAAATCCTTTGCCAAACTCCTTGAAATTGTAGCTTCATAATCTCCGGTAGCTACCCTTTCTAAATAAGCTTGAAGCATGAGAGCTTTGAACTCCACATCTCTTGGCCATTTCAACTTCTGAAATAAACTATCTTCCTTCTTATCTTTGAACAACTCCTTCCCTGTTTCAAGATGCTCACTCATTTTCACCTGTAGGACATCACCGTGCATCACATCATATAAATCTTGCATGGCCTTAGCGGCACCTTTTTTCTGCTTCTGTAAATCCTCTTCTTTTAATTAGAGATGTTCGGGCATTAACTGGTAGTTCATGGGTTGCCCACCTCCAAATCCATACTCAATAGGTGTATGGTGAGAACTCCACAGCTTTAGAAGTACAGTAAACGCCTTTGAAAATACAGATTGAGCTGTATCTTTCTCTGAATGCACTGGCGGAAACCTGATCATACTACCAATGCTGTTATCTATTAAAATAATGTGTTCATCTCTGGTCCAGAACAAAGTAAATCCTTCCCCACTTTCATATGAGGTTCACCTTCCGGGTTCCCCATGCTTTGATTAATACCTAAAGGTGCCTTAACAGAAAGAGAGCTGTCCGGAGATCATGAGCTAGAGAGACCAGCACCACTTGGAGGAAGGGAAACTTCAGTTTTTGTTTCAGTGATCAAGTGAAATATTGTTTCCTCAGAGTCAGAGCTGCTGCCAATCATGTAATCGTGAAATTGGACAGATTCGTTCCCAATAACAACACTCAAAGAATTAGTGTAAGAGTCTAGAGCTGTTGTTGATGCACTAGTACTAATGCTCTCCATGCCCTTTACCTCAGATACAGTAGCCAACGTAAGTGATAAAACTGGGTACTTGACCTTCACCTCAGATAAGATATCACAGTTAGCAAAATGTTTATAGAATGCGTTGACTTCTACATGAGGATTGATGTGGACCAAACTGAGAGATGCTTTCTTCGAGGGACCGTTCATCATTTCAAAAGGTCGTAGAAGAAATGAAGCATCTGGATGCTCCTGCTCATGAGTTATCTGTGACATTGCAATTAAGTGATCTTGCATTAATCCATCATCAGAGGCTATGTGCCTATGTTAACTGATATCCTGAAACACTTACTTTTCCATGGTGGCCAAACTACGTCACTACCATCCATGTATATACCAGCTTCTTCAAAGTTTACTCCAAATATCAGTGCCCTGTCCCTTAACTCTGCCAGAATCCCAGAGTGCAATGGATTCAACTCAACTCTAATCTCTTCCTTTAATCCATTCATGAATTTGTATTTAAGCATCTCATAATCCTTGAATCTGATAGAGGCTACCACCGATGCATAACTCTCTTCATCGGATGCCTTTCTGTTCAAGTATTTTTGAGAATTTGGAATTACCATGGATACATTTTCATTTCCAGGCTTGTCAATAATTAATATACCAGTCTTAATAATGTTCTTAGGGACCAAGTGATAATCACACATTGATATATGCAGAGTAATCTCCCTTCCTCTTCCTGGGTGGATATGATTTCTGTTAATGGACATATCCTCCTCATGCGATGTTGCCTGCGAACTTAGGGTTTCTCCTCTGTCTCGCGTCGTATTAGGGCTCGCATAGGGATATTCCCGCGATTTGGAGTCTCCACTTGATCGTGTCACACTCTGCGAACTGATAGGGACAGAATATGCGAACGAGGAAACCTGCGAGCAGACATAATCTGCTCGCGGTGGGGATGAAAAGACCTTCGAACAAGGAAAAGCTGTTCGCGATTTAGAACTGGGAAAAGCTGTTCACGATGGCAAACTTGAAACAGTGGCTAGCGACGGATTCACGCTGAGACTAGCTATTGGCGATGATGATAATGATTCTCCTCTAGGTCGCACGCAAATTAATAGCGATGAGGAAGTTTGAGAACGGAGAGAAACTGTTCGCGACTTCGAACTGTGAGACGAAGTTCGCGATTGTGAACTGTGAGAAGTTGCTCGTGACAGAACCTGCGAACTTAGCGATTGAGACGAAATCTGCGCACCTCGTGATGCACTAGGAGACATGGCCTGGGACGATGAGCACATGTTTTCAGCTGGCCAACGACATCTAGGAGGGCTCCTCGCTCGGTCTCTATGTCATGGGATGAGTACGTTTGGGAGGGGAATTGGTTGGGGTGATAGTAGGTGGTTCATTGAGTGAAGTTTGAGGAAATAGTGGAGTAGATGGTTTTTGCTTAGACCGACGTTGATAGGTGATGACAGCAGGTGGATTTTGTGGAGGTGGGGGTGTAGGGGGCGACGTATTAGAGGTAGAGTTTGAACTATCGGGAGTGCTTTGCTGAGTCGGAGTATGAGAAACAGGAGATGCCTTTGCCGCTGGTGTACCTGAAAGAGGAAGATAAGAAATAGGCGGTTGAAGCCAGTTATCAATCTCCTAGGAGAGATTAGTAACATGTGTTGCAGTCTGAGAGAAGGGAAAAACAGACTCATTGAATACAACATGCCTGTTAATAAAAATACGATGGGTAGCTGGGTCAAGACATCGATATGCACTATGCTGATCACAATATCCTAGAGAAATACATGGTCTGGATCGAGGTTCTAATTTGTGGGTTGTGTAAGGACGCAATCACGGAAAGCATTGACACCCAAAAGTAGCAAGTTTTGTGTAATGAGGTGGTTTTTGAAAAAGCTTTTCAAATGGAGTGCAAAAATTGAGAGATGTTGCAGGTTGTCTATTAATGAGATACACTGCAGTTTGAAAAGCATAAGACCAATATTTAAATGGCATGGAGGCATGATGAAGTAAAGTGATCCCTGTTTCAACAATATGACGATGTCGTCGTTCAGCGAAACCATTATGTTCCGGAGTATAGGGAGGGGTTAATAAATGGGAAATACCACTGGAACTCAGGAATTTCCCTAGGGTAACATACTTCAGACTTATGTTTGATGAGATAAAACTAAATGTATTTGGTATAGTGATCAACAAAAATAAAATAGTAACGAAAACCATCTACAGCGAGAAGGACCCCAAACATCCGTAAAAATTAAGTCAAGAGGGCCAGAACTTGAAAGTGAAGATTTAGCAAAAGGTAACTTGTGACGCTTTTATTACTTGCACATGAAGTGCATACAAAGATATCCTTAGAAACATTGTTAAATGAAACACCAAGCGAAGAAATAACTTTTTGAGTTATAGGAAGAGCGGGGTGACCTAAACGGCAATGCCATTTATTAAGAGAATATTTTGTAGTAACATTAGCATATCGAGATGAAGGAATCGGTACATCCGGCAGGCTGTAAACATCCCCATTATTCATACCCCGCAACAAAATTGCTTCCGTTCGCCGGTCCTTTACAAAACAGAAAGAGGGGTGAAATTCAATTAGCACATCATTATCACGACATAATTTGGCAACAAAAATTAAATTAGTATGAATTGAAGGAACAAAAAGAGTATTAGGTAAAGAAAGAATGAATATTCATATTTCCAACTTGTGCAATCGCAAGACCTTTACCGTTGCCAATAACGAGGGAGTCTGTGACAGTATAATCTGAAGCCAAGGTGAGGTTATTGAGATTATTGGTGACATGATTCGAGGCTCCAGAGTCAAGCAACCACCCATTTCTATTGGTCACCACAATATTGGCTTGAGGAGGGTAATTTTGTTCAAATCGGTGCTAACAGTTAATAGCGAGATCATTCGGTTTGCCACAAATTTGACATATAATTGTACCTCTAGAATTATTATTGCTCCTGAAATTGTTTTCTGCCTCCCATATTATTACCTCCGGGATTATTATTCCCACGTCGGTTTGGGTTGTGGAAATTATTGGGCCCCTGGTTTCGATTATGGCTCCTGGTATTGGGCACATTAAGTTGTGCTGCTGGTCCTGGGCCCAATATAGAAGGGTTGTGGAAATTATTTTGGGCCTGATTACCTCTTGGACCATTGGCATTCCTTCGAATGGCTAAAGCAAGAGACTCTCCCATCTCCGTGATAGCTGCATTAGCGGTCAACACGGGATTGGAATTCAGCGTCTCCTTCCGTCGAAGCTTGTCTTCGTATCCTACGAGCAGCGTATGGATGGTTCCAAATCGAGTGTCGCTTGAGGTCTGGATGGAGTTCGCGATTGCTTCGAACTCTGACCGGAGTCCTTCCAAAGCTTGAATGAGGAAATCATCATCGTCGACCGGTCGTCCTGCCAGCGCCAGTTCGTCAGCTAGGGTCCGAAGTTTGTGAAGGTACTCCCCCACTGGTTGATCTCCTTGCCGCATGTGTCGGAACTGGTCTTTGAGGTTTTGAGGTTTCGAATTGCAGAAGGTGACCGAGTCCCATAGAGCCGCTCAAGTGTCTTCCAGACATGAGCAGAAGGAGTCTAGGGTGTGGCGAAGGAGTCTGTCCTGCCGATTCCATCTGAGACGGCCGATTGCATCGCTTTTTGGTGGCAGTGTAGTCTCCTCCTCGATATAATGGCTCAAGTCTGACCCAAATAGAAGGTCAAGAACCTGGTCACGCCAAACCAGGTAATTAGAACCGTCTAATTTTTCTGGGAATTGACTGGGGTTAAGCATTATGAGTCCATCAGGGGTCAAGGGTTGTTGGAAGGTGTAGCCAAGGTTTTAGCAAGCGGATTTTCGAGGTCTCCTTGTTCCTGGAGATTCTCTGTCTGTCTGGAGATTTTAGAGGGGCTGGTGAGAGCTCTTACGGCTCTGATACCATAATAGAGTTTAGAGGAAGAGAGAATTGCGGACTCAACTGAATACTTTATTCTCAAACATATGATGGTATTTATACAATCATTGGGAGCCTAAATAATTATTATGATACTAATTACAAAGATATGTAACGGTTAAAACTGAAATTGTAATAATTGAAAATATTATAAATTAATATTTTCTGGATTCTTCTACACCAGCATCATTTCCATCTTCGTGACATGGCGTTCGACACTTCCTGTGCTATTCTCCATGTTTTTCTCTCCAGAATCATACAATGATAGAGACCTCAACAATACAGTAGAAAATCAGTATAGTAATGATGAAGTTATCAGAATAGAACTGGATTACAATGGGCGTTGACAGAAAGAAAGAGAAGAACAGATATTGTTGAGACACTTCAAGTAGTCTTGCACTCCCAAGCCTATTCCGAAATCCAATTTCTGCCTGCTTCTCTTTTTCCCCCCTTCCTGCTCTTATTATACTCATCTCCTAAATGGGCCAGCCTCAGTTACTAAGTTACTGGGCCTAGAAACCACTTATTGTACAATATCAAATACTTAATATTATTCTTAGTACTAGTATTGCCTATAAATTATACTCTTATAATTTGTTGCATTCAACTTATTTTGGATTTTTTTATTTTTTTATTTGGCTAATTTTTATCATACTGAACGTGTTTGTAGCCTTTGGGGGGGGGGGGGGGGGGGGATGGGGGATTCACATGAAAAAACAGTCTCATTTTGTATAATGTGACTTCTTTTTTAGTCAAAAAACTTTTGAAACATTCCTCATATTTTAGGGTGTGTTTGGGAGTTGGTTTTTGGGAGGGAGGGGAAGACATGCAAGGGTTAATGACTTTCCTATTTGTGTTTGGGAGTTCAAAAACTTGGAAGAATGGTTTTGGAAGGTTTTTGTCACCTCCAAAACCCCTCAAATGCTCAATTTTTAAGTTCCCCCAAAATGGAAGATTTTGAAGGATAAGTAAACAAATGACAATTTGTGCTATATTTAAAATGAATGAATACCAGTTCAACTATTTGAATTCACCATATCTCAAAAGTGATTTTATTTATAATTCTTCCGAGACCTTGTTTTTCCAAATTTACTACTCCCAAATAAGAAGGGATTTCTCACCTTCCCCTCCCTTTCCCCTCCAACAACTTACCTTCAAAGCCCCCCTCCTCCCAAACATACCCTTAGGTAATGTTTCATTTACTCATCACAGAGAAGAACTAGAAAACATGAATTCTTTAACTACTTGCCAAATACTGGGGAAAAACAAATGCGGACCTAAGATGTGATCCACAACAACACTGCTATCATATATGTGTATCATAGAAACTTGATTATGTTTTATTTTATCTTCAGGTAATGTTGGTGCTGATACTGCAGTCTTTGAGCAAGGTGCCTCAGCTGGAAATGTGGGCAACCAAAACCAAGTGGAGCAGAAAAGGGCGAACCCGGTGGCAGTTCTCCTCTCATCAGCAATGATGTTGAGACATCTCCAGTTTCCATCATTTGCTGACCGTTTAGAAACTGCAGTGAAGCAGGTGATTGCAGAAGGCAAGTACAGGACAAAGGACCTGGGAGGAGTCAGTACAACCCAAGAGGTGGTGGATGCTGTTATAGCTGCTCTTGACTAAACTCTCTAATCTTGGAGAATCATTCATTTATTAATAGAGGTCAAATTCAGACACGGCTCCCCAATATTTTCTTCTCAATAAATTTGATCTGGCTTTGATTGATTCCTTTCCGCTGTCGTTTTGTTTTTGCTTTCACACAAATACTACCTCTTCGTTTGTTGCTTTTTAAATGAATAATTTTCCCCATTGTAAAGGGTGCGCTATAGGCATTCCAGTTTTTTGCCTTCTAATTCATTTATGTAATTCTTCAAGACTAGAATACCACAAACGAATGTTATTAGATTAACCGGATGGCTCTTGTTCAGGGATATAACAGTTTTGTCTACACGTGAAAATCAACTGTGTTGCACACTTGCACTTGCACTTTACTCATATTTATTGTGTTCGATTATTTCAACCGTGTTGCACTTTTGGGAAATTTATGGTGTTAAATTAATAAAGGAATTTTATCCATGCATGATCCGAAAGATAGATGAATTGTCAATTCGGGATCTGAAAGATGAAATGTATCGATATAAGACCTAGATGATGGAAAACAATCAATTTAGGATCTAAATGATTGAAAATTAATTTAGGATCTTGTCATGATTTATTTTTATTTTAAAAATTTTAAATATTGTTTAATTTAATTAAACAGATCCATCTTCTCAAAGCATTATCTTCGGAACAAAAAACAACTCACTTCTAAATTCTAATAATATATTCATTTTCGGCATAACCACTTCCTCATTCATTTATCTTGAATCATTGTGAAGAAAAGTTTATCAAAAATTAGCTATGAAATTAATAAAACATCAAATAAATAAAAAGGTATGAAATGTTACGTTCTAAATGGATAGTTTCCCATCATTCGGATCTTATAATGATACATTTTATATTTTGTGTTCCGGATTGATAATCAATCTATCTTTGGGTCCTGATAAAATTCCGGCCGAGGGCAGATCCATCGGGTCTTGGCCCTTCACATTTTTAAAGAAAAATATTTAAAGAGATCACTTTACTTGCTATTTTTAATCCATCACTTAAGTTTTTAGGTTAACAAAAGTATCATAAAAAACACATTCATTAAAATAATTTTAACTTGCTATAGGAGGTTATCTAAAAAAGTTGATTTAACAATTGATTATCTTATAAAAATTTATATAAATTTTAAAAATAATGTAATAGTAATACCTCGTATAAAAAGGAAAAATTGACTGGAATAATCCGAACTATGGGTGGTCCGCTTCTAATAATCCCTACAACGAGTTATATCTGTTTAATCCCAACTTAGGGGGTAATCTTCCTTAATTAAACTACGGTTACCTGCTACCGACTGCGACCTTGAAATAAAAAAACAAGTTTAACGACCCTATCTTCACAATCTTCCCTCGCTCAACACAAACGTTCACTGCAGCCACAAGAAGGAAATATTCCCTCACAACGTTCACTGAAGACAATCTTCCCTCGCTCAACACAAACGTTCACTGCAGCCACACGAAGGAAATATTCCCTCACAACGTTCACTGAAGACAATCTTCCCTCACAATCTTTCCTCTTCACTGGATTTGAGTGCCATACGAAGGAAAGCAATTGAAGGTGCAACGCACTGGTGAAGCTTGAAACTTCATTGGATTGTATTCAGTAGAGGTAAAGATTCTGCGTTCTTCATTGGTAGGAATAGAAATTTCATTCCTTGTACTCAAACAAAGTTACAACGTTGGTTCAATTTACTGTATGTAATAGTAATTGTTTTGGTTATTTAGGGTTCAATTGGTGTTCAATGTACTGATTGTTGTAGGTTTAGTGATATATTAAACCTCTTTCATCATATATACTTCAATATACTGTTAATTGCAGGTTCTAAGTCAAAAAACTAAAAGAAATGGCTTTAAACACTATGATTACACTAAAGATGTGGCATGGAGGTACATTTAAGAAAGACAGTAAGGGAAAGCTAGAGTATTCGGGGGGGGGGGGGGGGGGGGGGGGGGGGCATTATAGATGCTTTTATTTGGATGCTGATGAGCTTTGTTGATTTTGGTTGGAGGAGTTAGCTTCAAAATGTGGGAAATATAGTAGTATAGATGAAATATATTACTTGATTCCTGGAAAGAGTTTAGAGACAGGTTTGAGAAGTGTTAAGTTTGATTCTGAGGTGAGAGATATGTACAAATTAGTTCTGCAATGTGGTGTAATAGATTGCTACATTAGACATGGAGTAAGTACACCCGAATTTGTGCTAATGCTTGAAGGGATTGGGGAAAATATAGGAGAGCCTGGGGGTTCTGAGAGGTCTATGGGGAGTCATACACCAGCATGTGAAGCAGGGCCTAGAGCAGAAACAACTGAAGGAGGGACTACACTACAGCCTGAGACAGACACTGGGAAAGAAACTAGGACTTCTGATGAAGAGGAAAATGTTGAATCAGAAGACATTCAGCAAGAAGAAGAGGTGAGAAATGAAGGTGAAGAGGAATTGCAGGTCCCACTATTTGGATCTGACAATGACACAAGTGATGAGGAGTTTATGGAGTCTAGAATAAGAGTGAGAAGGTGGAATTCTAAGATCATTGACATAGCAAAACAACTAGAAAAAGAAGCAGTTGATGGTGTTAAAGGGGGTAAGCAATCATCACAAACAGGTTCTCATGACCACACAAGTTCTCATGACCAGACAAGTTCTCATGACCACACCGATTCAGATAAAGTTGACCTTTTCAATGAATATGAAGAGTCAGATGATGATATCCACACACCTCCAGACACTGACAATGAGGATACCTTTCCAAAAAAAAAGAAGAGATAAACCTCCTGTGGTGAATGAATATACAGATTTCAGTAAGCTTGTTTGGATGGTTGGTATGAGGTTTGCAAACAGAGAAAAGATTAAAGATGCACTTACCAGGTTTGCTATTGCTCAAGGGAGGAACCTAAAGATAAATATAAGCATTATAGATGCTTTTATTTGGATGCTGATGAGCTTTGTTGGTTTTGGTTGGAGGAGTTAGCTTCAAAATGTGGGAAATATAGTAGTATAGATGAAATATATTACTTGATTTCTGGAAAGAGTTTAGAGACAGGTTTGAGAAGTGTTAAGTTTGATTCTGAGGTGAGAGATATGTACAAATTAGTTCTGCAATGTGGTGTAATAGATTGCTACATTAGACATGGAGTAAGTACACCCGAATTTGTGCTAATGCTTGAAGGGATTGGGGAAAATATAGGAGAGCCTGGGGGTTCTGGGAGGTCTATGGGGAGTCATACACCAGCATGTGAAGCAGGGCCTGGAGCAGAAACAACTGAAGGAGGGACTACACTACATCCTGAGACAGACACTGGGAAAGAAACTAGGACTTCTGATGAAGAGGAAAATGTTGAATCAGAAGACATTCAGCAAGAAGAAGAGGTGAGAAATGAAGGTGAAGAGGAATTGCAGGTCCCACTATTTGGATCTGACAATGACACAAGCGATGAGGAGTTTATGGAGTCTAGAATAAGAGTGAGAAGGTGGAATTCTAAGATCATTGACATAGCAAAACAACTAGAAAAAGAAGCAGTTGATGGTGTTAAAGGGGGTAAGCAATCATCACAAACAGGTTCTCATGACCACACAAGTTCTCATGACCAGACAAGTTCTCATGACCACACTGATTCAGATAAAGTTGCCCTTTTCAATGAATATGAAGAGTCAGATGATGATATCCACACACCTCCAGACACTGACAATGAGGATACCTTTCCAAAAAAAAGAAGAGATAAACCTCCTGTGGTGAATGAATATACAGATTTCAGTAAGCTTGTTTGGATGGTTGGTATGAGGTTTGCAAACAGAGAAAAGATTAAAGATGCACTTACCAGGTTTGCTATTGCTCAAGGGAGGAACCTAAAGATAAATATAAGTAGTAAGGACAGACAACAAAGAGTTGGTGCTAAATGTGTGAATGGGTGTCCTTTCAGGATTTATGCCAGTTGGGATAGCAGGAGAGCTTGTATTTTAGTGAAGTCAGTTGAAGGGGAGCATTCTTGCAACAGGAACATGAAAAGAAATAGGCAAATGAAGGCCTCATGGGTGGCAAACCAGTTTTTAGAAGTCTTTAAATCTAGACCTCAATGGCCAGCAAAGGACATTATTGAAACAATTAGGAGAGGTTACAAAATAGTGGTGCACAGGGACTATGCATACAAAGTTAAATACCATGCACACAGGAAACTTCATGGAAGTATGAAAGATCATACAATAAGCTTGGAAGATATCTTGAAGCTTTAACCCAAGCTAACCCCCTTAGTCATTTTAAATTAATGACAGATCCAAAACCTCAAACCTTCCCCCACCTTCTAGAGGTTCTTTGTTTTCTTTAATGGTGTAAGAGATGGGTGGTTGAGTGCAGCAAGAAGGGTGTTGTGTGTGGATGGCTGCTTTATCAAAAATTTCTTAGGAGGGATGCTTTTATCTGCGCTTGGGAGAGACTCAAATGTCCAGATGTTCCCATTAGCTTGGGCAGTAGTAGAGGGTGAAAACAACAATAGTTGGGACTGGTTTCTAGGAGAGTTGAAGAAGAACTTTGGACAAACAAATGATGCAGATCTGACTTTTATTTTAGATGAACACCAGGTCATATTTATTGTGTGTAATGCACTTATAAATTTAATTTTAGTCAACTCTACTAGTATACTTACTTTTAATGTATTGGTTTTATTGTGTTCAGTTCATTTTGCGTGGAGTCTCCACCATTCTTCCAATGGCAGAGCACAGACATTGTGCACGACATGTTTTTGCATATTGGCACAAGACACATAAGGGGGATGAACTGAAAATGCTATTCTGGAAAGCAGTGAAGGCATATAATGAAGCTGATCTCCAGAATGCATTAGATGAAATGGAAAAGATAAGTCCGGGTGCAATGATTTGTTTTAAGGCATGCAATCCTCAGGTTTTTTGTAGAGCATTTGTTAGGACTACCAGTAAGTGTGATGTCATTGTGAGTAACATGGCTGAAACGTTTAATGGATACATCATCAATGCTAGAGCCAAACATATCATTTTCATGTTAGAAGATATACGGGGAGCCTTGATGCAAAGGATGGTGTTGATAAGGCAAGCAATGGAAGCATCTAAAGCTGTGATATGTACCAGGATCAAGACCAGACTAGAGAAAGGAAAACATGCTACAGCCCATTGTGCCCCATGCCATCTAGCCAAGTGAGTTTTCAAGTTAGCCATTATCTAGACACTTTGACTATTAATTTGGACATGAAGACCTGTACTTGTAGAAAATGGGATCTTAGTGGAATCTCTTGCTGTCATGCAGTGGCCTGTATATTCTTCCTAAATGCATCCCCTCAGGATTATGTTGATGCATGCTATAGGAGAGAGGCTTATTTGAAAATGTACTCAGGTGCCATAGCCTCATTGAC